TTTAACCGAGCAGAAGTAGTTGTTAAACACATTGGACAAAATCTTACTGAAGCGACCATACGAGTCATAAATACTCATACTCCGCCCAAGTAAAACAAACAACATATAGTGGGCCAGCCAGAGGCTTAGGGCCCGCGCAGGAATATCCCTAAAAAAAAAACAGCATTTTATTACTGTTCTAATGGTTCTGTGATTTTGTATAGTAAATGCGAGTCACATTATGTTCCCGCTCTATCGCCATGTTGACCTGAGTTGTGAAGGTCGTTTAGAAGGTCATAGATCATCCAAGAGCACCCCAAGATCATCCAAGAGCACCCCCCCTCCCCCCGCAGGGTCCAGACCACATCGACGAATCAAAAAGGCCCCCCTCTCCCCCCCCCCCACCCCCTCCTGAGATTCCTAGCCTTGTTGTGCTGCGCTTAACTCATCAAGGCAGCAGCAGGTGGAGAGGATAAGGGCGCGCCGCGCGTCTCTCACTGTTGTTAGGCCCGCGTTAATTCCCTCCCTGAAGGACACGGGGTGTAAGAGGCGGCCTGGGGGCACGGGGCGGGGTGCTCTGCCTGGCGATGAGGTGAAAGTCGGGGTGTAATTCAGTTTGACATTCAGAAGATGAGATGGGAACAGAAGGTGGATATGACGGGATATTCTGGTTGTGTTTCTTGCCTGTGAGAAATGACGATATCAAATGCGAATTTAACTTGCAAATTGACCGAAAAATATAGAAGATTGAGATCGGAATTGTCGGTCTAACGAGATGAAGTTGAAAATGCCATGAAACAAATTGCTATTCAGTTGCTAAGGTTTCAGTCGAGTCGTCGGATAGTTGGAGTATATAATTTCACGTAAACTGTTGTGGGTGGTTAATGCAGAACATAATACCTGGGTTAATATTTATTGTATCCGCTGGCTGACTCGAGACGTAATCATTAATCACTACAGACATTAAGTGACGAAGCTGAATTGCTTAGTTATGGAGACCTGATTTGCAATGTCGAGCTTGTTATTGATAACTTAAGATTCAGGTAACACATTGATGCCTTGTTTGTTTACTGTGTGTGCTGGGGGGAGGGGTAACAGAGAGACTGATCGATAGTTAACACTTAAAGTCCTCTTGCTAACTGTACGCTTCTTGCTCACTGTACGCCTCTTGCTCACTGTACGCCTGCGGGCACGTGGCGTGTCCTTCGGGTAGCCAAGATATAGCTCCACGTGCTATACAACTATGCCTATATACTAGCCAAGATATAGCTCCACGTGCTATACAACTATGCCTATATACTAGCCAAGATATAGCTCCACGAGCTATACAACTAGGCCTATATACTAGCCAAGATATAGCTCCACGTGCTATACAACTAGGCCTATATACTAGCCAAGATATAGCTCCACGAGCTATACAACTAGGCCTATATACTAGCCAAGATATAGCTCCACGTGCTATACAACTAGGCCTATATACTAGCCAAGATATAGCTCCACGAGCTATACAACTAGGCCTATATACTAGCCAAGATATAGCTCCACGTGCTATACAACTAGGCCTATATACTAGCCAAGATATAGCTCCACGTGCTATACAACTATGCCTATATACTAGCCAAGATATAGCTCCACGTGCTATACAACTAGGCCTATATACTAGCCAAGATATAGCTCCACGTGCTATACAACTAGGCCTATATACTAGCCAAGATATAGCTCCACGTGCTATACAACTAGGCCTATATACTAGCCAAGATATAGCTCCACGTGCTATACAACTATGCCTATATACTAGCCAAGATATAGCTCCACGTGCTATACAACTAGGCCTATATACTAGCCAAGATATAGCTCCACGTGCTATACAACTAGGCCTATATACTAGCCAAGATATAGCTCCACGTGCTATACAACTAGGCCTATATACTAGCCAAGATATAGCTCCACGTGCTATATAACTAGGCCTATACACTATGTCTTCTGGTGACGGCCTGATCAACACAGCTGTTTCTGGCCACCCGCACACTCATATTTCCCGCCTCTCAGCCCTCAGCGTAAGCCTATCTGATTACTTGCACGCTCTTTCATACAGTAAACTAATGTATATCTTGGCCAGCCAGTCAGCAAGTTTACTAAATTTGTAAACACAACTCGGGACTTAAGTAAACTTTCAGGTGCATACACACCGTGAAACGGGGGTATACCTCTCCATTTATACCCCGCTTAATGCTAAATTATCCTTTTTCTCTACATATACATATATATACATATATATATACATATATATATATATATATATATATATATATATATATATATATATATATATATATATATAACTTTTTAGACACTCAACCCACCAGGGGACTCGAACACTGGCCAACAAGGTGGCAGTTGCATGCTGTATCCACTACGCTATACACCTTGTTGGCCAGTGTTCGAGTCCCCTGGTGGGTTGAGTGTCTAAAAAGTTATAAACTTCAGCTACTGGAATAGGGTAGTCTGTGCATTAAGCATTTATATATATATATATATATATATATATATATATATATATATATATATATATATATATATATATATATATATATATATATATATATATATATATATATATATATATTTATTATTTATTATTTATTACGTAAAATTTTAATTACGTAACGTGCGTGCAACTCCCTTCGTCCCCCGCTAAAAAAATAAAAAAAAAAATCGAACACTGACAAGAGCGACGTGAGGCTCTTGTCTTCACCCCATAACGACCACCCACCCCATAACGACCACCCACCCCATAACGACCACCCACTCATGAGCGTGTGAGATAACCCCACACAATGATCCGTGACTCTGCCGAATACCTTATCTTCACTTTTTTGTTTTCTAATCTTTAGATTCGCAAATCAATCACTTGGCGGTCATGACTCGGTGGTCCAGCACCTCCAGGAAGGTGGCGAGGTTGATAATGTCTTACGAGTTGTAGGAGAGAGAGAGAAGGAAAGGGCTCTCCTTTCTTGTCCCCCCCCCCCTCTCTCTCTCCTGTGATGGGGAAGGGGGTATAGATAGGGGGAAAGGGGGAATTGGCTTGGAAGAGCAATAGAGGGTGGATGAGGCGAGAGGTGGGGAAGGGGCCCATTAATTGAGAGAGAGACAGAGAGAGAGACAGAGAGAGAGAGAGACAGAGAGAGAGAGACAGAGAGGGGGGGGGGGGATTTATAACGATAATTCAGAGTTCAGATGGAGAGGGTCGTATGGAGTATGAGGAAGGGATAGTGAAGGTCATATACTCACATCATCCATCTTTATGCCCAAAGAGCTTGCTGTAAACACTTTGTTACACTATTGTTGTTCTGATGTATACACAGTGAAGGAGAGGAGATCAAAACAATGCTGGAGTATAAACCGTGGGAATGTTAGGCAGGAGTGTGAGGATGCTCAAGGCGGGTTTAAGACGCTGGCCTAAGACGTAAAAAAATAAAATAAACCCGTCTATTATGGAAGACGGGTTTAAGACTTCAAAAGACAATATGGAAGAGAAGTTTAAGATTCTAAGCCAAGAGTTAAATAGGTTGTAGAATAAGCCAGCAAACTCTCTGGTCAACATTCATCGTCTAGTGTTGCTGTCGCCTGAGAACATCAGATGTGAAAGGTTACTAATTCTTATTTTAAATCAATGTAACAAAGTTTGAGGAAAATCAAAGCAGCTGTGGTTCACTGTTTTGGGTTTGAACCGGAGCGTGAAGATGAGAACGATAACACTCTGTGGGGTGGGTTGTTTTGGGCACCCTGTTCTCACCTGGGCACCCCTGTCTCATCTGGGCACGCGAGGCACTCCCTGCCTCGCCTGGGTACCCCTCAATCGCCTGGGCACCCCTGCCTCGCCTGGGTACTAAAATATAAATGAATATTGTTATATGTTAGCATACTGTGCATATTTAGGCACTGGTTAAGTTAAGTTAGGTGTTTAGGTTCTGTTTGCGGTTATTTGTATTTGTAATACGTGGGTGAAGCATTTACAGCGTTGTAGTTCGAACAAAAGTTGTTCCAGTGTGTTCGAACATCATCAGTTGAGAGTTTTGTGTAAACCGTTTTTCATTAAAAAAAAGGGGGGGGTTGGCGGGTGCGTGGAATGGACTCTGGCCTTTGTTCATGAGGACGAGTTGGTATGTGGGTGAATCCTTTAGAGGTGCGATTCGAACACACGAATACAGCGAAGCACTGAGAAAAGTTCGGCGGTAATCGGTTGAGTCATTTGTAGTTTTTGTTTTATTCATAAACAGTGGATTTTTTGGGCGGGATTAACGAGGATTTTAGCATTGTTTATCCCCAAATAATATCGTAAGGACGGGCCGGCAACCCGACCCGTCCTTATGATCCGACAAGCTTAACATTTTGAGCGGTTTTGCCTCATCAGAAGCATTCAAACCGCGGCGTTGTAACAGTGCTCTTCAGACCGAGGAAGCGTCAATATGACGATGGTTATAATCTCACCAGACCACCGGGATTCCGACGCTATTGCCGATAGAAAGAAAATTGGTATGTAAATCAAGCAGAAAATCTTGTGTAAAATATGTTAACTTGTCAACTGTTGTGTTTAGTGATGTCAACTGGTATATTTGTGTTTAGTGATGTCAACTGGTATGTGTGTGTGTTTAGTGATGTATTGGTATATTTGTGTTTAGTGATGTATTGGTATATTTGTGTTTAGTGATGTATTGGTATATTTGTGTTTAGTGATGTATTGGTATATTTGTGTTTAGTGATGTATTGGTATATTTGTGTTTAGTGATGTATTGGTATATTTGTGTTTAGTGATGTATTGGTATATTCGTGTTTAGTGATGTGTTGGTATATTTGTGTTTAGTGATGTATTGGTATATTCGTGTGTTTAGTGATGTATTGGTATATTCGTGTTTAGTGATGTAGTGGTATATTTGTGTTTAGTGATGTAGTGGTATATTCGTGTGTTTAGTGATGTGTACTGGTACAAGAGTGTAAACTGGTATATTTTGTGTTTACAGTGGTCTGGAGCAGGACGGTCGGGGGGTCCAACCAGTGTACCTGAGCTGCTCCTCGGGAAGAGTGGAGTGGCAGTACCCTCGAGCGGGACTGAGGGTCATCCTCAAGTCCCCGCACAAAGGACGAGACTTCCATGCCTGCATCAAGGGCGATGCTAAATTCGAGGGTGCCAGAATTTACCTGGAGGGCCACCGTTCCCTCCTGCCACTCTTCGCCCTCGACGATGGTCGTCCTCGAGAGCTGGCGAGATGCTTTACCAGCTACAAGGGCCAAGCCGCCCTCTACGTCGAGGCCGAGCAGGGCGCCGATGATCTCAAGAAGCAAGTGGTGGCGTTCGAGTACGACCTCCAGTCGCTCTCTAAAGGCGCTGTCTACGACCCACTCGAAGGTAAGACTCGACGCTTATACCCTGTGTCACCTCTCGAGGGGGAGGTTGTGGACATGTCGACACGTTTGACTGACAACCTCCCTCTCTCTATCTCCCTTCTTTTCTCCTTCCTTATCTCCCTTCCTCTCTCCTTCCTTACTTCCCTTCCTTTCTCCTCTACCTTTACTTCCCTCTTTTACCCCTCTCATGTACTCCCTCAAGTGTGCTTGTTGCATCGATGCAATACAATGACGGCGATGAGTCACAATAACGTGGCTGAAGTATGTTGACCAGACCACACACTAGAATCGACTTGAGAATGATCCAGGACAGACCGAAACGTCGTCGTCCCTTCAACTTCTAGTGTGTGGTCTGGTCAACAATGCAATGACTTTTCACTCGTTTTTAACATTACATTTATATTAAAAAATATACGTTGAATCTACTTCATCTATTATTGAAATTTGTATCATGCAGTATCAAGATCCAGACAGCTTTATGAATGGCATCCAAACCCTAAACAATATAACTAATTTTAACACGAAAACATAAGAATTTGAAAGATAAATTAGAAACATGGCTATGCACTCAGCCCCGGTCCAGTCTCATGGACTTCAATATTCATAAAGAAATGTAAAGTACCAGTAGTGCGAGCACTCCGTGTAATATGGATAAAGCTGGGATACAGTGAAGATACCAGCAGTACTTATATCAGCAGATATAGATAGCTCCACTACATAAGGGAGATAGTAAAGCTTTGGCAAAAAACTATAGACCAGTTACACTAACATTACACATTATAAACGTTTTCTTAAGTGATCAGGAATCAAATCTCCAGTTTTATTGAAATCTATGAACTTCACAACCCAACTCAACAGGGATTTAGGGCGGGAAGATCATGTCGTTCACAACTATTCAATTACTGACAATCACAGAAGCATTAGAAGAGACAAAATACAGATGTTCTATGCAGAGAGTTTGCAAAGACATTTGATTTGTTAAGTGTGACCATGGAGTGATAACCTATAAGATGAGATCAATAGGAACAACAGGTACAGTGGGTCGTTGTATTTAAAATATTGTCAAACAGAATGCAAAGAGTAACAGTCAAATAAAACTCAGTCTTAATGCAGTGAAAAGCTCTGTATCCCAGGGCACAGTTCTGGCACTACTGCTTTTTCTCATTCATATCAGCCCATCCTCCTGATATTTATAGTGACGACGAGAACCATCAAACATATATTTATGTCAACGGCAATTAGAAAGTAGAAATAGGTACTACTGAATTTGGACAAACCGACAAAGTTTTGTATTGATGTTGCAAAGAAAGCTTATTTAACCTAACCTAACCTTCCTAAGCCTAATACACGCTATCTGAGGTCTAATACAGTACATATAAGTTCTATACTAGGCCTACCTAGGCCTAGGAGTATTTAAGTTAGGTTTTAGCTTTATGTTTTCGTCTTATAAAGTGTATAGTATCAAATCCAGTATCTAATTGTTCATCACGTCTGTGTATGTAAGATGGATCACATAGTTACCAGAAGTACTCTCTAAACAGGGTGATGGGTTGCAGATAGACAAAAATACAAGTTACAGCTTCGTATCATCCTTTGCAGATGATACAAAAATCAACATGAAAATTTTATTTGTATTAGACGCTGGAAAACTACAAGCCAATATTAATCAATTTTCGATTGGGCAACGAAAATGATCTGATGTTCAGCAGTGATAAGTTCCAGGTACTTAGTTCCGATGGAAACGAGGAACTTAAACTAAACACAGGGTACAAGTCTCAACAAAACTTAATCATAGAAGGAAAACATGTAAAAGATCTGGAAATTATGATGTCTAACGACCTGACATCACAGTGTTTAAGAGAGAACTTGACAAGCACCTCCAAAGGATACCTGATCAACCAGGCTGTGACTCATACGGAAGGCTGCGAGCAGCCGTGTCCAATAGCCTGGTTGGCCAGTCCAGCGACCAAGAGATCTGATCGACGACCGGGCCGCAGGGACGTTAAGCCCCGGAATACTATTTAAATCACTGGTGCTATCTCGTTTTGAGTACTGCTCGGTACTTTCTTCCCTTTTCAGGGCAGGATAAACTTCTGAAATTCAGGGAATACAGAGAACACACACGGCACACTAAGACACGATAAAGCACCTAAATTATTGGGATCGTCTCAAAGCTCTCAAAATGGAAAGGAGAGCTCTCTCAAAGCTCTCTGGAAAGGAGACGAGAGAGGTATCAAATAATATATACTATACATGTTAGATAGTGGAAGGCCAGGTCCCAAATTTGCACAGTAGAAAAACATACTGGAGCGATAAATATAGAAGTAAATGCAGAATAGAATCAGCGTAGAGGTATAATAGGCACAATCAGAGAGCACTGTATGAACATCAGAAATCCACGGCTGTTCAATACTCTCCCAGCAAGCATTACAATATTGCTAGAACAATGGTGGACCTCTTCAAGAAGTAAGTAGGTAAGTTCCAGCAAGAACTGCCTGTCGAGTAGAGTTGTAATGGAAATGTGGACCAGCGGGCCTCTCCAAGCCCAGCTCCAGGCCAGGCTCAGGGGGTAGAAGAATTTCCGAGCCCCCATCCAGGTATGCGTTCCATTTATCTACCGGGTCATATAAGGTATGTGATATAGTGACGTCACAGGAGTGAAGTTCAGAAAGTAACATTGTAGGATTGAAGTTGAGGCAAGAGTGTTGTATCTCTTCACTCGAACCACTCATTGTTGCTGCTCACCAGGCATCTCTGTTGACTGGTCTCTCACTTGGTGCCTCTGTTGGCTGGTCTCTCACCAGGCGCCTCTGTTGACTGGTCTCTCACTTGGTGCCTCTGTTGACGGGTCTCTCACTTGGTGCCTCTGTTGACGGGTCTCTCACTTGGTGCCTCTGTTGACGGGTCTCTCACTTGGTGCCTCTGTTGACGGGTCTCTCACTTGGTGCCTCTGTTGACGGGTCTCTCACTTGGTGCCTCTGTTGACGGGTCTCTCACTTGGTGCCTCTGTTGACGGGTCTCTCACTTGGTGCCTCTGTTGACGGGTCTCTCACTTGGTGCCTCTGTTGACGGGTCTCTCACTTGGTGCCTCTGTTGACGGGTCTCTCACTTGGTGCCTCTGTTGACGGGTCTCTCACTTGGTGCCTCTGTTGACGGGTCTCTCACTTGGTGCCTCTGTTGACGGGTCTCTCACTTGGTGCCTCTGTTGACGGGTCTCTCACTTGGTGCCTCTGTTGACGGGTCTCTCACTTGGTGCCTCTGTTGACGGGTCTCTCACTTGGTGCCTCTGTTGGCTGGTCTCTCACTTGGTGCCTCTGTTGGCTGGTCTCTCACTTGGTGCCTCTGTTGGCTGGTCTCTCACTTGGTGCCTCTGTTGGCTGGTCTCTCACTTGGTGCCTCTGTTGGCTGGTCTCTCACTTGGTGCCTCTGTTGGCTGGTCTCTCACTTGGTGCCTCTGTTGGCTGGTCTCTCACCAGGCGCCTCTGTTGACTGGTCTCTCACTTGGTGCCTCTGTTGACGGGTCTCTCACTTGGTGCCTCTGTTGACGGGTCTCTCACTTGGTGCCTCTGTTGACGGGTCTCACACTTGGTGCCTCTGTTGACGGGTCTCACACTTGGTGCCTCTGTTGACGGGTCTCTCACCAGGCCCCTCTGTTGACGGGTCTCACACTTGGTGCCTCTGTTGACGGGTCTCTCACCAGGCCCCTCTGTTGATTGGTCTCTCACTTGGTGCCTCTGTTGACGGGTCTCTCACTTGGTGCCTCTGTTGACGGGTCTCTCACTTGGTGCCTCTGTTGGCGGGTCTCTCACTTGGTGCCTCTGTTGGCGGGTCTCTCACCAGGCCCCTCTGTTGGCGGGTCTCTCACCAGGCCCCTCTGTTGATTGGTCTCTCACTTGGTGCCTCTGTTGACGGGTCTCTCACTTGGTGCCTCTGTTGACGGGTCTCTCACTTGGTGCCTCTGTTGACGGGTCTCTCACTTGGTGCCTCTGTTGGCGGGTCTCTCACTTGGTGCCTCTGTTGGCGGGTCTCTCACCAGGCCCCTCTGTTGGCGGGTCTCTCACCAGGCCCCTCTGTTGGCGGGTCTCTCACCAGGCCCCTCTGTTGGCGGGTCTCTCACCAGGCCCCTCTGTTGGCGGGTCTCTCACCAGGCCCCTCTGTTGGCGGGTCTCTCACCAGGCCCCTCTGTTGGCGGGTCTCTCACCAGGCCCCTCTGTTGGCGGGTCTCTCACCAGGCCCCTCTGTTGGCGGGTCTCTCACCAGGCCCCTCTGTTGGCGGGTCTCTCACCAGGCCCCTCTGTTGGCGGGTCTCTCACCAGGCCCCTCTGTTGGCGGGTCTCTCACCAGGCCCCTCTGTTGGCGGGTCTCTCACCAGGCCCCTCTGTTGGCGGGTCTCTCACCAGGCCCCTCTGTTGGCGGGTCTCTCACCAGGCCCCTCTGTTGGCGGGTCTCTCACCAGGCCCCTCTGTTGGCGGGTCTCTCACCAGGCCCCTCTGTTGGCGGGTCTCTCACCAGGCCCCTCTGTTGGCGGGTCTCTCACCAGGCCCCTCTGTTGGCGGGTCTCTCACCAGGCCCCTCTGTTGGCGGGTCTCTCACCAGGCCCCTCTGTTGGCGGGTCTCTCACCAGGCCCCTCTGTTGGCGGGTCTCTCACCAGGCCCCTCTGTTGGCGGGTCTCTCACCAGGCGCCTCTGTTGACTGGTCTGTCACCAGGCGCCTCTGTTGACTGGTCTCTCACCAGGCGCCTCTGTTGACTGGTCTCTCACCAGGCGCCTCTGTTGACTGGTCTCTCACCAGGCGCCTCTGTTGACTGGTCTCTCACCAGGCGCCTCTGTTGACTGGTCTCTCACCAGGCGCCTCTGTTGACTGGTCTCTCACCAGGCGCCTCTGTTGACTGTTGTTTCTGCGTGATGTGGGAGGTGCAATACCGTTCAGGGCAAGTCATTTTATTTTGTTTTCAAGGGAGGGGGTGTTGGGGGAGGGGGTGTTGGGGGGGGGGAATGTTT